GTCTCGAATTCTTTCTGCAGTATACAACAACATAAACATACTGCCTCGTCATAAAGATCAGTCTTCAGTTAAAAGCGGGATAGTTCGGCCCCATGGAGCCTCGATCTCGTCATCTTGGAGTTAGTCTGGGATCACACTAAGAGACGGAAAAGACCTGATAGAGCCTCAAGTGCAGCACACAGGAACAGACCAGCAGCATCAGACACGATGGACTGTTAAATGAAATTCAGCAACATGCAGTACGTGGGTACCAGGTAATCTCAGCTTTGAAGTGACACGACTGAGGCAACCCCATAAGGGAGTGAAGGATACTGTTGACTGACTGCCAAATAATTTACCACAAGGAATAAACACGTGTAGTTTCAGTTGCTTCCACATCAAAATGAAAAAGCAGCTCATCAACGTGGGATCCAACAAATGTGAACTGCCGTTTAAACTCGAATAAGGACAAAATCCAGTGCCAGAGTCTGTATTTCTGAAATTACCGGCAGATGGAAAGTTCATCAGCTAGCTACAGAGACTAGAAAGGATCTAAAGGCCGATGATACTGTGTACTTTTCTTTACTTCAGACAGGTGAGCTGTCACGCGCAGTCACAGTTTGACAGTTAAATCAATTGTTACACAGCGGCCCTCCTCGGGTCGAGCCCCAAGCTTCACCACAGCTGTCGGAATTTTTTTTTTTTTTTGCCATTCATAATAGACTGATGCGTTTACTAAAGTCTAGTAAAGTGCACACGAGTGAGCTAAAAGATGGGTGGATTGTCACTGATGAAGTGCAAAGCTAGCCAGTTTCGCTCTGAAATTTTCAGAGGTGGGAACAAACAAAGTACAAATACTTTGTTACTGCACTTAAGTAGATTTTGCAGGTATCTGTACTTTACTTGAGTACTAATTTCTGACGACTTTTTACTTTTACTCCCTACATTTGAACACAAATATCTGTACTTTCTACTCCTTACATTCTCAAAACTGGCTCGTTACTTGTTCCAGTCTCTGCGGATGACGACATGACGTAAAAGACGTAACAACAAGCGTCTTTATCTTTCCCAGCAGTGGGCACTTTGTCACTGAAGCTCAACACACCTCTGCCTGCCTCAGCTGCCTGCCAGAGGCTTTTTAGCACTGCAGGACTGATTTTTGGACCCAAAAGTTCCCATCTTCAACCAAAGAACTTTGAGAACCAGCTTCTACTGAGGCTCAATAAAAGATCAAGAGTGTTTATATGTTGATTATAATGTTTATAATGTTGCTGAAATGGAAAACTGTCCAGTGATTGTTTTTTCTCTGTAGCAGCACTGTGCAGGTTCTTAAAGGATGAAAACAATCCTATTTTGTGTGCTTAAAACTCAAAAGAGGCATCGTGTATGATCGAAGCTAAAAATTAATTTTTACTTTTGTACTTTCTGAACCTGTACTTTTTTACTTTTACTTGAGTAAAGGAGTTGAGTCAGTACTTCTACTTTTACCAGAGTCTTATTTTTACACAAGTATCTCTACTTCTACTTAAGTAAAGAATGTCAGTACTTTTGCCATCTCTGGAAATATTTATGGCAGGAAATATACAAGAGGATCACATAGGCAACGAGAAACTGAAAGCTTCCACTGACGACCAACTGTTAGCTACGAAATTAAACTGGAAAAAGAAAAGAAAAAAAAAACTGTATGCAGCGTACACAAGAGAACTGGTGCTGGTTAAAAGGCAAATGTTTTTCATACCAAATATTGATTTCATTAAGCATTTTCTGTTTACTGCACTCTATGTGAAGAGAACTGATAAATAAAAGCTATTAATGGTACTTTAACATCTGCGTCATATTACATATTTAACATAATGACAGAGAAGGGAAGCGCGTGGACAGATCTATGCAGATCTGAAGAGAAATGCCAAGTACAGATTAAAAAGATAGTATCAGACAGAGTAGATGGTAATTAGCCGTGGAGGTTTGTTGTGCTCGTCGTATATTAAAACGCTGATTAAGTGGTCGTGGTTTGCATTCACACTATTCTGGACAAACAGATCCCTGATGACCGCCAACCCTCAGCCGTGGCTTGAACGATGAAATCTCTCAACTTGTCATTGAGCGAGCTTCCTTAAAAGCCGTCCACATGTGTCTGGATCATCTGGGATGCGTTTTAATACACATTGTAAACAGGGCGACTGACTCACACCGGTGAAAACACGCACAGTCAACACACTTAAGACACCAGCTCTGTTTGATGCATACACAATCATGCACACTTTCCTCTCTGATAAACAATACAAACAGTAAGTTGCCCGAGGCTTGGAGTGACATGGAAACATTTCCGCTAAGTTGACTTTTGATACACCCTTGAGGATAAGCAAGGAATACTGTGAAACCAAACTGGGTATACAGACGACACAGACTGATAGGAGTAATATCAGATACGGTGCGTGTATGTGTGATGAGGACAGCTATAACATAATTAAAAAAGGCAGTCAGAGCACGGGGTAGACATATCCAATCTCATAGTGCACCCATAATTATTATGTAGGGAGTGATTTTATTAACACTGTGAATCCTGAAACATGCCAACAGGTTTGAAAGGCCTGTTACATTTTCTAAAAATGCCAAAGTTACAGCATTTATCTGAGCTAAAAACTGTAGAAACATAAAGAATGGTCTGACTACCAGTGTTTGCAACAGTCTAACTTATTATGCGTGTTTTTTGTTTTAGTCTGGAACATTTACCACAGTTAAGCCTAAAATTGAGATGTTTGATGAAAATCACTTTATTCATCATGTTGAATGTAAAAATGTCTGAAAAAATAATTTCTTCAAATCGTATTCGGTAAAAAACAAAACAAAACCAGTCATAAGTTTGGCTGTGTTTACACTGAGCAGATAGACGAGTACGGAAACAAATTTGAAATGTAAGATAACATAATATAAGATAAGCTAAGATTAGATAGGATAAGATAGGATAAGCTAGGCTAAGCTAAGCTAAGATAAGATAAGTTAAGCTAAGCTAAGATAAGCTAAGCTAAGCTAAGATAAGATAACATAAACTAAGATAAGCTAAGATTAGATAGGATAAGATAAGATAATTCTTTATTGCTTCCCATAGGGGAAATTCAAATAAATAAATAAAAATATCTATGATAAATAAATAGATAAATAAGCAACATTTTTGTAAAGTAAATCATGAAAGAAATCAAGACTTGGATTCCTTTTTATGATTTATGGCATTATAACTTTGTCACGCTGCACAGAATAGTTCTTTTCTGTTCTCTCTACTTTTAGCCAAGGTTATGCCATTTCCATGGAGATGCAGGGAACATATGAGAAAAAATGTGATGGAAGCAAAAAAAAAAAAAAAAACCGCATACTACTGTACATTGAATAGCTCAGCGCTTGCATGAGGAAAGAGCTAATGACCACAAGGGTGAAGTGATACAATATATGTATTCTGACTTCGTCTATATGCCAGGTCCATACAACATCCACACACAAACTAACATGTTGTAACGTGGGCAATTCAACATACAAGACTCTGCACTCATTATAAGGCTTGATATAACACTAACACACATGTATATTTATCATACTGCCGGCATATCTTTCTACACTTTAGCAAGGCTGCAGTGCCCCTATTCCCATTACGTGCACGCTCATTATTTCCAAACACAAACACCACAAATAAACAGCAGAATCATTATTCTCGCTTCACTCGTCAAAAGGCAGCTTATGGCTGAATTTTCTGTCATTAAAAAAACATTAATGAGGATGATTAAAATGACTGTGATGAGAGGCTGGGACAGGGATATGAATCTCACTCCCGTACTGACTGCCAAAAGGAACTCTCTTGGCTTTTTTGGCTTTGAGTGGGTGCCTGTTTTTGTGTTTATCAGGCTGTAGTGCTCAACTCGGTAATACAGTTATGAAAGCGTGCGAGACAGAAATGTTTGCTCCATCTTTTGTAAAAAGGTGCCGCGGCTTGGGCCCCCTGAAATATGTACGTTTGTTTGGGCGCAGTCTGAGTTTAGCTGAAGTTCAGGCTGGGGCTTAAAGCACACAAAGAATTGATTTGTTAAGGTGTAACCTACAAATTTTTAGGAGCGAGCTGCAAAACAACATTGGATTTATGATTTCACTTGTGTCTAGGGAAGTCATTTTGTCTAGGAGATGGAGCATAAATGCACCATTTTGACAGACCTACATTAGTCTGCACTTGTAACTGCATTTCCATGGAAATTTTTTCGCAATCTTTTCCATCGTGATCCCTATTATTTTTGTGGCCCGCTTTGCGTCTGACAAGGGTTAAAGGTACCTTTTTGGAAAGAAAGCCTCAAGCACGCTTTTGACCAACAGTTGCACTCGGCACTTTCCTCTGGACAGACAATGACAGTGTAGGCGTCATTTTACTGATTTCATAAAGTAACCCTGGTCTAAAATCAAACTATTGCTAAAAATACATTTAAAATCAGACATAAATCGCTTCTAATCATTGGAACTAAAGTATAATAACCACTTTGATTTTTTTTGTGTCCCTTCAAGATCCAAACCACCAACTTCCATTTCACATGTTCAGTTATTCAAAAACCAAAAAGAAACACTCGAGCCCTCGGTGTCTTTCTTGAGTGCTCTTTAGCTCAGTTGCTGGGTTCTGCTGGGTCAGATGCGTGTAAATCATAGCAGCCCCCAAGGTATACAGACCCGGTAGATCAATAGACACAAGAGTAGGGAAATCAACACTGCTTGTTTAAAGGGTGCGTCCGGGCCAGCACCAAGCCCCAGGGCATCTACAGAGAGTACTTGGTATTCACACTGAGAGATGGAGAGAAATAAAATATCTCACTCAGAAATGCATTTGGCTACCAGTGAGAGGGGGAAAAAGGTGCTGGAACATTTGTATAGCCACTGGGGGAATTCCTATTTAGAGCTATTGTTTGATTCATTAAAGCTGATTAGAGGCAATCATGTTGATTCACACACTGGCATACACACAGACCGAAAACAGGGAGCTTTTAAAGTCTTACCTTTTTACCAATGAGCTTCTTCCTCAGGAATTCACGGGCCTCGAACATGTAGGGGATGTCATAGAGAGGACGGAATCGTTTGTCTTTGTCCTTGTTCTTCTCCTGAATGGAAATGGATGGAGCGATGGATGATGGGGGGGGAAGAAGAGAGAAAAGGGGAAGTTATTCACATTGCATTTTCAAAGATGTGCAACTCAACACATCCACTGCAGATGCACACACAACCCAACCCCACCTCAAGCATACAGACATAAACACAGATTCCCACACAGTCGGCTCGTCTGCTCCCTCAATTTCAGTGCTGCGACAGGGACTGGACTCTGAACTCACTCAAATATTTTAGTGTGAATGGCAGCATAACACACACACACACACACACACACACACAAGCGTCTCTCTCGCTGTCACTACTGACACATTACCCAAAAAAAAAATAACAAATATCAGAATACACAGCTATCAAGGACACAAAGACACAAACAGCCAAGGCAAAAGACACATTGTGTTTAACAGATGCACTAAGGCGAGCTGATACCCGGTGCATATGGTGCATACACAGATGTAGCCACACGTACGCTCACACAGCTGCACACAAAAAAACTTCCCTCAATACGCTCACCCACTCTCTGACAGGAGCGGGCCACAAATAGAACCTATTTGCATTTTCAAAGGAGGCTGAGATTTTGTGTTGCTCCCAGAGTGAATAGACAAACACACACACACAAACACACACACACAGCATGCCCACACACACAGAGAGAGAGAGAGAGAGAGAGAGAGAGACAGGTGTCGTTTTTGCAAGGGCAGGATAAAAAAAATAATAATAATAATACAGCAAATGACAATGATGCAGTGGGAAAATAAACGACAGGCGCTAACAGGAGGAATAAGGCTATGAATGACAATACCAGTATGCTCGCCACCCCTGCCCCTCCCACACTCTTGTATGAACGCCATCATTATCTGTCATGCAAACAGAAGTAACACTCTTCCAAATGAACACACGGGCTTGGATTAATTCCTCATTTCCTCTTTTCTCCAATGGGCTTTCATTCATTCTTAATGACACTCCAGTTGTTCGGAGCTGCCAGGTGTGGCACACAGCTGGGCAGATGGATGTGGAGAGAAGACACACAGGGAGCAAGGCATGTGTGAGCGTACGTGTACTTATGACTCCATTAAGGCTTTTGCTGGTATCACGCTAAAAAAAAAAAAAAAAAATCCAACAAGCAGCGTATCGGCAGCAGTAATTTATCTTTGATATTTTGGATTAATTGTAACATAACTGCAAAGAGGAATGTTGGTTTGGCTCTGCTAAAGGAACACTGCAAACTGCCAAACCTAACAGTCAACAGATGTCCTTTAACCTTGGCAGGATTATAATAACCTTTGAGTTAAATAGCTTTCCATCTTTCTTTTCTCACTCCATCACTCCCTTTTCCCCTCCACTTTCACCAGTAGAGTCAGCACAGTACTGAACCTCAGAGCTAATCTCACACATGCCCAGTGGAAATTGCTCAGCCAAGAGCTGATGTCCTCCATTTTGTGTCAGTTGGGGCTTATTGTCAGGGTATTTCATCCCTACCAAGTCAGTTGCGGTGGGATGATGGGGCCTTTTAGGAACACTGCCAGCCAGGGCTCCTCCATTTTGTGCCCGAGCTGAGGACTTCTACTTCAGGGGATGGGGGGGTGGCTGACATTACTTGGATGAAGTGACTTTGAGTGTCTAGAAAAGCGCTTTATAAATCTGATCAATTATTCCTGGGGAGCATATTTTCTTATTGCATACTAGAGCTGGGTGATACAGCTGAGAAACTCATTTAGACAAAATGTTTCATTTCAGTCAATATTAATAATTACTGATCAATTTTAATGAACTGTTTTTAATAAGGACAATGTGAGAGCGAGTATATTTTTAATTTAACCACCATATTTTAACCACTGTATTCACAAAAGTGATTATTTCTTAGGGCGCCCATGGACTCATAAACAGACGCAGTGACCATGGGTTCGGATCCAGCCCATGGCCATTTGCTGCAGGTCCTTCGCCCATTCTTCTCCTCCTGACTTTCCTGTCTACCTCTACTATCCTATCACATAAAGCCAAAAGGCAAATAAATAAATAAATAAAACAAGTAATTACTTCAAATAAGTAATGATCTCATCTTGATATACGTCATACATAGAAAGCAAGTAAAATCAGTTTGAGCTAAGCTAATTGAACATCAGTTAGATGGAATACATAAACTAACTGTAAAGACACTCTTGGACTTTGGGTAAAGGAGGGTATACAGACGGCAACTAGGACGAACTCGCCACACCACGCCGAGGTTAACGTTCCGAGTTGCCAACCAGGACCAGGTGCCACTGGATGGGAACCCCACACCGGCTTCCACACCGCTTCAAGTCCAATAGCCGTCATCAGTTCTTAGGTGGAAGTGGCGGCTGACACAGGGTCACCAGGTCAGGAGAAAGACCCCGAAAGACATCATGCAAGAGCAACACTGCCTACACTGGAGTCATGGGCAAATAGATGCCCAGGCAGCAACCTCACATGCCTCAGGGGACCTTCATGGAAGCCACGGGGAGAACGTTGGAGAGTAGGACGCCCAACTGTCAAGGGATATGATGGACTGTTATGAGCCAGGGAGGCAGCCCGCTAGGGGTTTGTTCATGAGATCACACTTTGTGTTTTCATTCTGTGCTTTCATGGCAGTTTGCATCTAATGCATTAAAGTGAAACAAACGTTCTATCACCAATTGTGTTATTGCTATTGATAAAGTGCATATTTGGGGTACATGTTGTTATCGTTTTATCACCCCAGCTTAAGTCATATCACGGTAAGGCAATTCCAGATACTGAGGTGTGTTTACATCCTGTGTTCACAGCAGCACTTCAATAACATTCTGATAGTCACAGGTCACAACAACTGGATAACTTCATCGGGCAAAAGTGAAGAACAAGTCAAAGAAGAGGGGAAGAAAAAAAGGAAGAATCATTTCTAACTAATAAGCTGTTTCACAGTGGAAAGGCAGCCATGTCACTGAGGGCACAGAGTGTAAATGTCAGCACTCTATGCCAATTAGGCACAAGGAGTGGAGAAGTAGACAAAGAGGACAAAAGGTACTACTCCTGCATCTTTCAGAAGGTCTATGGGGAACAATGCTAGACCGAGTGGAAGTCGGCAAGGTGAAAGAGTCAGAAAACAAGAAAATGAGACAATCAGAGGAAATGTTTAAAGTGAAAAAAGAAACAGGTAGTCAGGAGGAAGAACACGCCGATGATCGCATCCTCCAGACCGATGTCCATGTGCAGTGTGACCCGCCGGACAACGTTAACCTCGTCTGGGATGACGGTATCATTGTCACTGTGATGTGGACGAGCGAGCAGGTGAGGGAGAGGCTGCTTTAACAAAAAGAGCTGCCACCATGAAACAGTGATTCTAACCGACTGCAACAACTGTCTAATATTTCACGACGGGCCTGGTGCACTCTGCGTTACAACTACAAAAGGGGGCCGCATCAGGCGCTGTGCAGCTCAAACAGACATTACGCATTCCTTAGCAGTTAAGTGCGAACAATTGGAAAATAAATGTGTCTCCCTGTCAATCAAACCAAACACAAACAAGGCTGTTCCACGCTGATGACTGTGTGAAAAGGAAGACTGTGACGAGTAATTATTGGGAGTATGGAGCTGATTTCAACTTCAGTCTCTAAATAAACCGACAACATCAGCATCATTAAATTACTCTAACCAGACAAGTTCTGCGTACATCATCTATAAATTGCTATTATGCGGCTGGAGGAAGGTTACAGAAAGAGGAGAGAGTCACTGTTCTGTCTCAACCGTAACCCAATAACAACAGTTTGCTCCCACTATCCTCAGGGGGAGTTTTGTTCTATTTGGGGTAAATTCCCTTCGTTCCAAATTACCCGCTAAAGCTCAGGAATCATCTTTGACTATTGCAGAGGCATGGCGCTAGCTGGATGGTACAGTGTCGCAGGGCTGCGGGGTCTGGGCTGCAAAATGTGTGGAAGCTACTGCTGGAAGCACTTGCAGCTTCTGGAACGTCAAGGGTGAAATCATGACTCAGGAGCATGTCATACTTTGTGATGTTTGGCTGGCTGTGGTGTTGTTGTGGAGGGGGGGTGTACAGTATTAGGCCTTAGTTTTGCATTTAGCTGACTGAGTGGATTGTGTTGTTTTGTTCGTAACCTATCTTTGGAATGAAACGCTACGTGCATGTGTCCCAGACAAAGTGGACATTATTTTTTGATTAAGCAGCGCACTGGGAGTCTTAGACAAACAGTCAACATTTACTGTTGTACACCTAACAACATTACTCAAATGTGCATGCATAAACATTAAATGGCTGCAGAGGGTTGGGATGGAGAGAGAGAGAGAGAGAGAGAAAGAAAACAAGATGAAGAACGAGGGCACACACTTCCTGAAGCAAGAACATGAAGTATACTGCCGGTTATAGCATACAATACTAAATCCAACATTATTAGGCAGAATATGAGTAAGTCACCATCAAAATCATTACTAAACCGACTTGAATTGATCCCACAACAAACCTGCATTTCAGAATGAAATTACCTGTAACGGCATAACAACAAACAGCCACTCAATTCATTATTAGCTGCTACCAGACAGGTAAATAAACTGGGACAGCTGTGACAGGTTGCAGCCCGTGTTCTCATTGTGTTGTCATTAATAAGGATGTTATACACAAAATGTCAGCGTTGGTTGCTTGTACAAGGCAGCTACACTGTGACTTAATATGTGCAGTGTTGTGTTTTTAATTTTTGGACCAGACAGACGGTCAGACCTGCCCCGCAGTGATGCAGTGTTACACTAGCTGCAGTATAGGCTGCTAAAAAATCTCTAATATGGGTGAAGACATTTAATAACAGAGCAAAGTAGGGCAGCGTATGCTAACCGCTAACCCTAATATGGAACATATTGCAGCATTCTCAATCAAAGAGCCCACATTAGAAATGACCTGTATCAAAACAAATCTCGTTTCAAGTCCCTTCAGGTGCTTTTTTGCTTGACAGTACTGTAACCTACATCTTTCAAAGGCAACAGTCACATTGTC